GAGAGTGAGAGAGAGAGAGAGAGAGAGAGATAGAAAGAAAGAAAGAGAGAGAGAGAGCGAGAGAGAGGGCGCGAAGAAGAAGAAGAAACAGATAGGCACCGAAATTAAGAGAAAACGCTAGATTTGTGAGAGACTTAATAACCATTTTTTGCTTTCAGGTAGAAAGTGGTTATGAGCAATGTGTAGATATAGAAGAAAGCCAAACCAACGGCAAGCTAGGATCGTGGTGCTACTCACTATGTGGGTGCGACCACTGTGAATGTCTGTCAGCAACACCTTGCTGCGATCCTCCGTCTCTCATTATGAGTTCATCCAAAACTAATTCGTTGTGTAACAAAATTTGCGGTTGCTTTCAATGCGTATGTACCCTACCCTAGTATCTGGGTAACGAGAATCCTTTTTGACGTTTTCAAATAAATCTCTTCAGTTACCGTCAAATCATGTTTGTTTTCGTTATATGTGCAGTTGTTATACGCCATTGATAATAAACATTGATATCACGTCGAAAATGTGCAGAAAATCAGAAGAAATATGCATAACACATTCTCTAATCCCGATGTATTTGCAATTAATATTAGAATAACCCTACCTCCTCTGCCTAATTCTATTCTATAAACGGATTATTTCCTTGAAACCGTAAAAGGTCTTCCCTCGTCGTTACTTATATTATTTAGCCGCTACCTACGATGACCGTACCGAGACCGGACCTAATAAAAAGGCTTGTGGAATAGATGTAGTTTAGATGTATACGATTGCAGATATCAGTAGTGTAGAAGCGATAATGGTTGGTTCGGCTCATAAGGAGTTCGAGGCATATATAGCCAAGATTGGGAATGGAGCGAAATGACACGGCATTGTCAATATATATATATATATATATATATATATATATATAAAATTATATTCTCACCCTGCTCTCTAGCACAACACTGCAGCAGACATTGGTTCTGGTATGTGTTTGCCTACACCTTGCGGAGATGTGTGCAGGGCTCAGGAGTAAATTGTCAGCTGACATTCTCCTTGATGGTCTACGTATATGGTGATACCTGAACAAGTTCAGACGCTCTATAGTTAGTGAATTCGCAAGCGATTGTCATATTATTCATGTGGCATGTGCTTGTCGTGGTCTCGTGGAATATAAGGCGTGTAAGATGCATGTCCCATTGCCGCTGGGGTGTGGGGCAAAGGGGCAGCTACTGTAATGAAGCTAAAGTCAGTTACGATATAGAGCAACGCCGCAGGACAGGCACGGTTCTTGACCACGTCTATATCGAGGCTTAGATCCGACACAGGGACACACCTCAGGCACTTGGTGACATGGTCACTCGCGTCGTTATAGCCAGTTTTATACGAGTACTGCCAAGTACGACATTCCGAGTAAACAAAAGAAACCCTCCCCCTATCATTAAAAAAGAGGACAGTGGCCTTGTTGCATATAGACATTAACCTGGAAAACGTAGCACTACTAGATCACGTGACACATCCAGACTTGCTTAAATAGAGACGTTTTCTAACAGAGGAGCAGAGAGGAGATATATATATATATATGGGTATGTGTGCGTTTGTGACCGTGCATGCAGGCGTGATGCTATTCAAGTTTTATGCTGATTCATCGTTAAAATGTAATGGCATTTCCCGTAAATTGTATATAGCCGGACCTTTAACCAAGGATCCCACACCTCAGTCTAGCAACTCGCGATAAATATCTACAAACGGAGCCTAGATTTTGTGGTAATTCTAAAGTATGTAACGAGATGTTAGAAGGGCAAAGCTGCGAAGCAGAACCACCAAGTTAACAAGTGTAGAGCTGCGAAGGGAAACAAAATGGATCTTTGTACGAAATTATTCTACATTTGACTGTGGAGACAATTTGCGGGTTTAAGTTTGATGCGTAAGATGTATCACCTGGTCGTTCTGGACCATGGGATGATGGTCCGCGTTCTCTGATAAGCCAGAACAAGAATTCTTGCGAGGTATTAGGTCCATTACCTAAACCTTTCTCTCTAAATCCTTTGCACTATTCCTTAATTTAGAACGAAAGACAGCCTACCAGCGATGACATTGACGGCCTTCGATAGGGGCTGTTTGAAGCATTGATGGGTTACTTTAATCGCAGTCAAAATCGCCAACAGTATAACATCCTAATAAAAAGCGATTTGTGTCAACTGTGCTACCTTGGTGACTTCACCTACACGAATGAGGCGAAGAAGCAGAAGTTGCAGCTCATATCGTAGGTGGGAAATGCAGACAGTAATTATGACAACAATCCATCACTTACTCTTGACGGACTGCTAGCATTCCCGTGAGCACCTTAACGCTGACAAGTAATCAGAAAAAGGAAATGAGCTGCGGCGCAATGACTGTAACAGCCAGCAAGGTTAACACCTAGAGTAAACCATTCGCCAAAGAACATGCACATGTGTCATATGGCGCTAAACCCGTTATTGCTCTCTCAGCACAAAGAAACGCGCAATGACCTGTGAAACCTCTCGCGCGCAGGGGTTCACAAATGTTTCACAGACCATTTTTACGTAGAAAAGCTTACAGGGACGTCACCATTAGGCAGTTCTGTGTAATGCGTCTATTTGCGATTCTATATAGACCACCTATAGCCACGCTTCTCCACGGGAATATGCCAAGGGCTAAACCATCAAAATAGAGGCGCCGTAGACCTACCTGGATACCAATTAAGAATAGTAGAAATCGAATCATTTATAAGTGTCGATGTACTCGTGGTGTGCGGAAACACATGTGAGGATGACGTAGGCAACGTATAATAGAATGTCTATATATCTATCTATCTATCTATCTATCTATCTATCTATCTATCTATCTATCTATCTATCTATCTTAAAATAATCTATAGAGCAGTCACGTAACTATGGACATGATGAATAGGTACAGAATGCTTCAGTCGATGTCATAGACGAATGTTCTCATGGGAAATCATACATCATGTGGCAAACTAAATGAATCATCGCGGCAAACTATATTAGTGAACGTTGATTAAATGGACAAAATTTCACGCTCAAAATTGCTTGCGCGATTAATTCTAAAAGCCACATGTATCAGTGTTGCTTCTACTTCCTCTATTTCCTCCTGAGGCTTAGCCTAGACAGTGTTTCTTCTTTTCTCGTATATGGTACCGCATATTCCGTTTGTTTTGGCGAACAGGAGTGAATAAAAACAAAACCTGTTTTTTTCACTCCTGAACACAATTACATCGTGTGATATATATTATCTTAGCGTGCCGCCTGATGACTATATATCTCGCGGTAGGTTTGATATCACCCACGGACTGGTCGAAGTCAGTGGATGCGGTGATGGAATTAGATCTACCCTGGCGCACGCTTAGGTCGAAGCTGGTGAGGACCACCGCCCAAGGCTTAGTCGACTATAAATCATCATTTGAAGAATTCACCTTGCATCAGTTTTCAAAGGTCAGACATATGTGTGCTCTTTGTTTCATACTACTTGCAGCTCTGTCATATATATATATACGTCTACAGCGTCTTCTGTACATGCATGCTGGCTTTATGAAAGCTAATCACAAACGCTATATCCGTGCATTCGCTGCGTATTTTGTCATTACCTGATATATTCTTGATGATAGCACGGTAGCCCTGGAATCGCGATCGATTAGACTTTGCAGAATCCGCGCGACTCTCACACACACACGCACGCACGCACGTGCACGCACGCACACGCACGCACACACGCACACTCGCACGCACACTAGCGCGCACACACGAACACTTACAGATATGGTGTAGTGGGTCACGAGACAAATGCATTGATTAATATAATCCCTCTCCAAGCTAGGGTGACTAATGTCTTTGACTCGCTTGCCTGATCATGGATGACTAATTATAATGTACGCATAACTGAGCTATCGATCCGTCAGGTAATGTGTGTGCGGCCTTGTGGTAATGCAAAATCTCACGGGAATGCGTTCTGGCAGTATTTATCGAGTAATGTCAGATCCTATCAGACATCCACTACCAGGGTACACGCGCGCATATAGCAGTTTATCTCGTGCGGAATTTGTCGCGCATTGTTGCAGTATCTGTCTGCATTGAGGCCTCCCCGTACCATGGATGCAAATGGTGGATCCCGTCTCTCAGCTAACGGTGTCGACGGCGACGATGACAGCAACATTGAAGTGGATCACATAAACCTCAGGGAGTGGAAACAGGTGCGATTAAAGGACGAGTCCACGTATAACTGACATACTGTCTGTGCAATTCACGTGGATATGTGCCCAATTTATTCGTCTGTGTTTGGTTGGCCAAGACATACACTACGAGTAGGAGTAATGGTTGTATATCCCCGATTGCTACAGCCACCGGTAGCTTTATTCAATGTAGCTACTATCGTGTGGCTTCTGTAAACCTCTGTAAATGTGATTATGCATCACGCATGACAACTGCCGACGGTCGGTCGGTCGGTCGGTCGGTCGGTCGGTCGGTCGGTCGGTCGGTCGGTCGGTCGGTCGGTCGGTCGGTCGGTCGATCCATCGATTGGTCGGTCGGTCGATCGGCCGGTCAGTAGTCAGATAGATTGATTGATTGATCGGTCGGTCGGTCAGTCCGTATAACACCCTTGACCTTTATCTCAGCAATTGCCTAATATCTGTGCTGTGCGCCAGTATCGCTCCGCTTTTGATTATAATTAGTAACGCCCAGCAGGTAAACGCGCCTGCGTCCATCCACATCGTGTTTCGGCGGTGGTTCTTTCTTCGGCTCGTGTGGGGCGGGCGCCGCGGCCATTTTGTGACCTTTCTCTCGGCCTGTCGCCGCAGATTTTGGACGTCCTCTGGAGCGACCCGCGCCCACTTCCCGGTTGCAGCCCAAACACATTTCGAGGAGGCGGTAGCTACTTCGGTCCCGACGTTACAGACATGCTGCTCAGCAAGAACAACCTGCAGTTGATCATCCGTTCGCACGAGTGCAAACACGAGGGTTATGAATACTGCCACGACAATAAGGTATGAGCAGAGATGATAGGACTATAGAGTCACGGCGGTCTCATCTAATAGAACCTCTCTGCTATAAGGGCGTATCAATGAGCAAATCGCGGCAATGAAGTATAAATTGAAATAATATATGATATATAATAGGATATATGATATATATATATATATATATATATATATATATATTATATATATATATATATACGATATATAAGAGGATAAAGTATAAATAAAATCATGTATAAGCGGCATATTTACGGTGTCCGGATGGTAAAGGGCATTGGGATAAACGGACCCAGTTTTCATCGTAATTTCTTGTTATATCTAAAACGAATGATGTGCATCAACGTGTAAGCTGTGTCTACTTTTAGTAAAGGAATCATTTTTCTCCATCCCATCTACTATGGTAGAAAAAGGTGAAAAAGAATGAACGAGTGAGAGTGAGCGTGAGAGAGGTAGACCGTGAAAGAGGTGGGTAAACAGAGAGAGGAGCTGAAGGACAAAAAAAGAAGAGAAGAAAGAGGAGGAGCAGGAGGTGGAGTATGAGAGTAAGGAGGAGGAACGGGCGTAGGGGGAGTCGGAGGAGAGTATGAGAGTAAGGAGGAGGAACGGGAGTAGGAGGAGGCGGAGGAGGAGTATGATAGTAAAGAGGAGGAACGGGAGTAGGAGGAGGCGGAGGAGGAGTATGATAGTAAAGAGGAGGAACGGGAGTAGGAGGAGGCGGAGGAGGAGTATGAGAGTAAGGAGGAGGAACGGGAGTAGGAGGAGGGGAACAGGAGTAGGAGGAGAAGGTGGAGGAAGATGTTGATAAGGAATAGCAAAAGAAGGAACAGAAGGAAGAGGAAAAGGGAGAGGCTGTATGAGGATGTGTAATTGAAGTATGCATAATGCGATTTCACACGTGTTTTCCAGGTTCTAACGATATTCTCAGCATCCAACTATTACGAGTTAGGAAGCAACAAGGGCGCGTACATCAAACTATCGTCTGATATGAAGCCCCACTTTGTCCAGTACATGGCTTCAAATTCACACAAGAAGCTTGGCCTAAAGCAACGGTGAGTACTGTTGCCCAAGTGAGTCAATGACGCATGCGGTGTAGCACACATCCTCATTGACCTTACGTTTAGCGACTATTGAGTTTTATCCTGCGTGCATCATGTCGTGTTTTCGATATTTTTCTACACAGTTTTGGTAAAAAAAACTTCCTGATATAACCGGATAACTATGTGTAGATGTACATCAGCGTGCCCGAGTAATAGTAAAATAACTGGTACTGTATGGGTGTAAAATCTCCAATTATCCATATCTCCAAATGATATTATATCAAACCTATAGCGATAGAACCTTGCTGTCTCTCGGATTTGTGCGTTTCCCTTTCTGTTACCTATGTTTAATCTGTAAAAAAGGGTTCAAATATATTTGTTTGTAATTGCTCGCCTATGATCTATTTTTGTTGTCATTGAATGTTGTGTTGATTGCATTCGAAGGTGTTCCGACCTTTGCCCATGGTAGTAATAAAACTTTCTTTCATCCCTGTTGCTATCTCCCAGATTTTCAAGGTACATTGTTCACTGTGACACCCAGTATGCACTGTGTGCGCACACAAGTGTTGTCAGTGGATGGCACCACACATACTGATATTAACCTGTGTTTGTTGTCTGCATTAGCTTCGTGTTCGAGATGATCTTGTCTTGCAAGGTAGTGTTCAGTAATATGTTGTGAGTGTGCAGGCAGTAGGTATATTTGCACATGCATGTGTGTCATCCGTCGCAGATAGTTAAGCGATTAGTGTATCCGATGTTAGATATTAGCTGTGAGTGTGAGGTTATTGATACTCGACATAGTTGTGATTCACATCTAATATTATTTATTATTTAATAGATGTAATTTACGTCAGTGAATAATGACTACGTCCGTCAACAATGTGCTAATAATTTTGGCCGCCAGGGAAATAATACATGATAACTCATATGAAAACCGTAACTGTGTAGGTGTTAGCCACATACTGCATAATAGAGATGATAACATTCGCAATCACAGGACCGACTACCTGAGAGCAAATTCTGTGTTTGTATGATGTATTGTAGGCTGGTCGATATATATGTTGTGATAGCTTCGTATGCGTCGCCCTGTTGTTAGATCACTTTTGACAGAAATTATATTCACTTAATTGGATTTCTAAGTCTTCTATATTATTTTGTTAAAATAATTTTAATTATATTGTAGGGGAATTAATAGCCCCCTGCTATAATAATAAAGTTACCTCTGAAATTGGATCATAAACCATAACCAAAGTAACAATGCTTATAATAAATCCGCTAATATTGTAGGACGAGAGAGAGAGGGGGGAAAGAAATAACTAATTCTTCAGAGTAGTATGCCATGTTTTTTTTATTTTGGAAAAACAAAACGAATTTTTCTCCCACTGTTGAATAGAATTGCCTTAGTACGTTTAATATTCCCTCATTGCAACGCATTCACGTGTACTACCATTCAATTTCCAATGTGATAATTCTACATATGAACTGTCAATAAAAAGATAGCATTTCGTAGAATGAGCTCCTGCGCCATTAATGCCCGCACAGTGATTTCCTCACAAGGATGAAAAGTTGATTCTTTTGCCTCGCACTGCGCTGTTTCAGACTAAGTTTAGTAGAGGAGTCAGCGCTACGAGACGTCAAGGAGAAACTTTATAGCCATCAGTCAACACTGATGGAGGAGTTCAAGAAGTGTGACCCAGCTAACACAGGTTTGGCAGATTCAGAACGCCTTTCACTCCCACTATTATACTAATGAACTATTAGTAATGATACTATTACTAACGATATATTATTACTAGTGATAATATTACTAATGATACTAATGATGATGTAAGAACTAATGATACTAGTACTAATTAATCGAGATTTGTTCGAGATATCTACGAGAAGGTCGAGTGAGCTTATCAATTTCCTGAATTGGTTCATGAAGAGGTTCGATTGGTTACGCTCGAGATCGTGAACGTTTTACGGAAATGACCGACTTCCCGTAAAATGTTGTAGAGCGCACACGCATAAATCTTATGCTACCTAATGCTGCTGATGTCTTATGCCGCGCCTCAACCCTGGAGGCCGTTGTAAGAAACATCGTGAAGTTAATGCTAATGTTAATGCTATAATAACACTTCTGTCAACGGTTTACGGGTCGAAGTTAATGGCAAGACCAATGTTAAGACTAATTTTGTTTCTGACAACGGGCCCCTGGTATTCTCCAAATGAAGCCACTAGAGCGCTGCAGTGTTGATCAAGTATGAATATGAATTAGGGTTACACACTGGTTCAGACTACAGCTCCCAGTGGAAGTATTTTAACAGTGCAATCGGGAATTTACGCGTACCTCGCGCACACCTCGTGTATGCGTATTCATCGTGCAACTATACTGTTGTTGTTTTTGTTGCAATGTCTATAAGAAGAATTAATAAGCTGTTATTTACAAGTGCAAGATAAACAGCACTTTTACCAGCAACAGTGAAAATACATCCTGATCTGTGTGCAAATTACAGCATGCCTCGGATGTTGGTGTTGATCGGACGTATGTATATGCGTATTTTTTCTGGCTTGACTTTTATTAGGACTTATAATTCAAATATTCGTGCTTTTACCTATAGGTACGGATTTATCAAGGAGCTAATGCACAAGTACAAGGTAGGCCTATCAAGTTGACTTATTAACCTCAGCTGTTGTTGCAATCACCCGAACTGCGAGTCGCGTATCATCGTATAGCACTGAACAACATGCAACACAACTACAAAATCCACCGAGATTTTGCTCTAAGCACAACAGGCATTCGCTTTTTATGATCGCCTACACGCAATGCCACAGGATTTCAAGATAAAATCTTACATTGGTAGCTACGCTTGCTCACTTTCTACTAAAGGGCAAACTTAAAATCCCTAGAGAGATCCTCAGAGGTCAGAGTGAAACGTTCTATATCGGCGCATGTCGTCGGCCTGTGATGCATTCGATCAGAAAATCACGACTAAGACGGCTTTTCACTGCATCGAGTGGCCTGCAATGCTTTCAGGCGCACTCGCGTAGAGTGCGCTGCGAGAATCGATACGAAGGGATTTATTTCCGCATGCGTGTTTACGTGTTCTGAGATTCAGCCACCACTGCTGACACGCGTGCGACTCCCTTCCACACACACGCGCGCGCACACATACACGTATGCACGCACGCAGACACACATACATACACACACATACCACACACGTATGCACGCACGCAGACACACATATACGCAAACAAGTATGGACGCACGCAGACACACATACATACACACACATACGTACACACGTCGTATGGACGCACGCAGACACACATACACGCACACACACACACGCTCCTACATATACCCACATACACGCACGTACGCACGCACGCACGCACACACACACACGCATACATACACATACGCAAGCGCGCGCGCTCTTACATATGGACATATACACGCACGCACGTACGCGCGCACACGCGCACACGCGCACACGCACACACGTGTACCGCACCTCACCCGGAAACGCGTTTCTTTCTTGTTCGGTGGTTCCTCGCGCGGTACCTCTCTCTAGCGGTTGCCGCTCCGCCTCTGGCGCTAGCTTCGTGCACTGACCTTTAATCAGTATCAGGTTTTCTCGTGTTACGATTCACTAATAGAACCTCGTGGAACAAAATGCAGCTCACGCGTCATAGCCGTGCACACGCACGCACGCACGCACGCACGCAGATGTATACGCAAATGCACTTACACGCGCACGTGCACATTCGCATTCATTTATGCACGCATGTTTACGTGACTAATGCACGTACTAGTCTTGCAATGTTTCTATTTCACCCGTATTATAACATCTATAAGCGCTTGTACGGTATAGTTATAACAGGAGTGTCGTAATATAGACTCCTATATTATTATATATCCTATATAATAACACTGCTTTATTTTCCTTTCTGTGCTACATAGATCTGTTAGTTAGATAATGTACACTATATATATATATATATATATATACGCAGGCACCCAGACGAGAGCAGTAGACGAGATTCGAGATATTCGAAAGATTCGAGTTCGATTCGAGTTTCGATTCGAGTTCGTTTCGAATTCGATTCGAGTTTCGAGTTTCGATTCGAGTTCGTTTCGAGTTCGATTCGAGTTTCGAGTTTCGATTCGAGTTCGTTTCGAGTTCGATTCGAGAGTGTGTGTGTGCGTGCGTGCGTGCGTGCGTGCGTGCGTACGTGTGTGTGTTCGTGTATGTGAGAGTGAGAGGAAGAGAGAGAGAGAGAGTGGGGGGGGGGAGAACTGCTGTTTGTGGCGTGCGCGCATTGCCGACGTTGCTTAGAACGATTTTTTGCACTTCGTATAGACGTGCGGACCGAGCGTGACAGAAGTGCTCTACAGAAACAAGAACTCATTGGAGACGATCTTTCGAATAATGGACAAAGACAACTCTGGTACGCTGTGGCAGTTTAATGATCTCGGTGTTCCGTCGTCGGTGACGACGTGCGCCGTTAGGGGGCAGTTGACATTGCATTTAAGTGTCGCCTTTATCGTCATTGAGACGTTTATCCCCGCGGTTTCCCCTGGCGGTGTCACCGTTGCGAATACCCAGAGTGGATGGCGCCTGCATGCTATATATGTGAGCAGTAATGAGCACGTCGGTATTGTGTTTCTCTCTGGTGAACCACGGGCACGTAGGCAATTTCAGAGGAAGCAATCATTGTCTGTGCATTTAAGTGTATAGGGATACGATAGAGAGGCGAACGTTGCACGCACGCACAGAGTCGCAAACAATTCACGTGCGACGAGCGCGAGATAATGCAGGTAATGAAGCAAGCGAACGTGTCGTGCGAGAAAAGCAGAAGCTAGGGTATTAGTCGATTACTTTGGTACGCTGAATGCCTCTATATAACACTCTGGAACACTCTCACGTTCGCTGAAGAGAGCCGGAGCCTCTGTAGCGTTGATTTTAAAACTATTTTGCATATTATCAATAATAAATATCTGTGGCCATCGATTAAACGACCTACATGCGATGGTGTCCCTGAGGCATAATGTACACAAGGTAAATAGCTGTTTAGGAGCGACTAAAGAGATTGAAATAGTGGATCGGCGCCCTTTTCTATCATGCGCTCATAATCCTTAAATAGTGGATCAGCGCCCTTTTCTATCATGCACTCATCATTAATTCTTAAATAGTGGATCAGCGCCCATTTCTATCATGCTCTCATCATTAATCCTTAAATAGTGGATCAGCACCCTTTTCTATCATGCACTCATCTTTAATCTGTTTAATCAATTTCTGTCCTGAATAACTATATCCTGATGGCCTGACCATCTTAGTGATGACAAGTTCCCATAATGCCACAGTATTATGCGTAATTGCTAAGGAGAAACCACTTAAAGGAATATACCTCCTGGTCAGAATAATACAGTACGTTGTAATAGGCATAGAAGCCTAATTAAATGGCCTGTTATCAAGGAACGGCAGAATTATATATGAGACAATTTTTAGTTAATACGTGTCATCGACTAACAGGTAAGGGAACCAAGCATCTGTATCATTGTCTTGAAGATATTAATAAACGTTACAAGAGAGCAGGCTTCTAATCAGGTAATCATATTTCCGGGGGAGGGTACTCACCTTTTTTGGGGGTAGGGGTGCTCCACCTAAATGGGGAAATTGAGGGCAAAATGATGACTTGACGGTGAAAACATGGGGCGAAAAGATGGCTCGAGAGTGAAAACATGGGCCAAAACGATGGCTCGGCAGTGAAAACATGGGGAAAAAAGATGCAAGGGAAAAATTGGGGGACAAACGGAAAATGGGGGGGGGCAATAATGCGGCGGATATATATATATATATATATATATATATATATATATATATATATATATATATATATATATATATATACGTCACTATGCGGATTACCCCCCTCCCCACCCCACCACCACCACCACCCCCACCACCACCACACCACCCGGGTCATATTCATTTCAAGGGAACGTAATTCGTCGTAATCTGCTGTCTAATTATTAGGAGTGTATAATATAATATAGATATTATATTATATGATTCTATTGGTTCTTATATTATACACTGCTGTAATTATCTGGTGATCACTAGTGGCTCGACAGGCACAGCGAAGTGCCTTCCTTTGATAATGACATCCTACGCAGATAACTGGCTATAAGTGAATTTCGTACGCGACCCCTCGCTTATAATCATCGAAGTAGCTCTGTCTCGATCGGGTCGCATCAAAACAACATATCCATATCAAAGTCACGTATGTATCATGTATACTATTGTAAACAACCACGTGTATATATATGCATATATATATTATATGAGGAATGTTTGAAAAGGCAGTCGCTTTTAGGCAGCTGCAACATTTGATGTTGAACACGAGTTGGCACTTATCCGACACTGAAGAGCGATGAACAGCGTGAAAACTCATGCGGATATTATTGCATGGGTTCGATAACAAACTAAGCCAAGATGCCGGGCATATATACGCACGCATGCCTCCACTCTGTATTTATATAGCCTAATATCTTCATCACGCTATATGGGCAGCTGCTCGTAATGGCTAGCGCAAACAACGAGAATTGATTCTTTCGTTGGCTCTAGTTCCCTGTAAAGGAGACCTGACACTGCCATATATATATATATATATACAGTGTAACGGTAACAGCACTTGCGCGCGGCATAAGAGAAACGGGTTACTAAACCAAAATCGCCGTGACTGCGTAGAATAGCGGCCAGCGGAAGTTAAGAAATGGGAAGAAGGATTGATAGAGAAGGGTGATGTTTGCTGATGAAAGCAGGGTAGTGCAAGCTAAATAACGTTAAAATCAGATGGTTTCAATGTTCCTTTTTCATGTTCTCCTTATCAGTATTGATAGTGTTTTATAGATTTGTTATGTTGTCTCTTCATACGAAGTCATAGTTTTAGTCTCACTTGCATGTTCCCATGGTCAGTAATCTCATTGTTATAACTGTTGATTTTTGGTGCGTGTTGTTGTTTCATTTGCATGCTCCGATAGACCGATCGCTACTAGATCGCTCACATATTGGTCTGATAGACCAAATAGTACAAATCTTAATTGTTCAGGAGGTTCATTTCTTCATAACATTTGTGCCGCATTATCTGTAGCCTATTATGCTGTATTATTATGCTTATTATGCTTGTTATTGTGCTGTAGCGGAAATAGTGCTATCAGTATTATGATATCCATGAAACAATTTAAACTTTCTGCACTCGTGTTCCAAAACGCGGTTCAAACCTTCAAGCCCCTGATCAGTGTACCTTCGGAATAACAGACCACTGCGCCGTTTCCCCGGACATCGATGACCCATGCATGATATCAGGGGTTAATAATAACAAATTAGTATTTCATAATTAATTTTATAATTAATCATTATAATACATTTACATACAATACATCTTATTATACATACATTACAGGCATACATACATTATATACATTTATTATAATACAATAAAATCATTTGTTTTCATAATTATTATTTGTCATTATTAACCCCTGATGATATGCGCTCGCCTTGTAGGTAGCATATCGATGGAAGAATTCGAGGAATCCTGTCGGCTTCTCAGTGCTCACATCAAGACGCCCATCTCACCGCAGTACATCAAGGACCTAGCGAAGAGCATTGACATGAACAAGGACGGGTGCATCGACTTCAACGAGTTTCTCGAGGCGTTTCGATTAGTCGACCGCGACCACAGGGCCAGTCAGAATGCAGCCGGTGAAAAGAAGGCTCGGGACACGAATAGTGAGAAAGTGAATACGAGAAGGAATGAACTCGAAAACGACGACGCTGATGCTGTTGAAACGACGAATCGTGGGAACGCGAACAGCACAGGCAAACTGGAGAACGAGGCTACCGAGACAGGAGATGCGGAGATTTGTGAAAATGCAAATGTCAACAGAGAGCTTGAGACCGTTGAGACGGTCGTCGAGGCAGACGTTACACTACAAATGCACCAGAAACCCATATCCGCGTCTTAGTAAAGCGCTATATATATATAGCTCGCCGCCGTGCTTTGGTGCTTTCGTGCGTAAATTTCCGCAAAGGTAGGGTTTAATACACATGCATCAAAATCAATGTCGCATGCGTGACAGCATGTTATACATATATATATATATATATATATATATAGGGTATAATATAAAGTCAGGGGCGTCATCATAATTATATGCATGTATACTAATACGCTCGTGTTGAAATCCATACGCGTGTACATATAAATTGTTAGCGCGCATTTGGGACGGCTAACGACTGTGTATGTGTGCCTGATGATATGTAATTATGTACAAGTAAAAATATCATTACTAGTAGTACTACTAGTAGTAGTGGTAGTGGCTGGTATATTTTTGTATAACTGGCCAATACCACGAGAGTGAATATCCTGTATGTGTAAGTGAGTATAGTAAATATATATATATATATATATATATATATATATATATATGTATACTCTACTATTATATACTACTTATATATATATATATATATATATATATATATATATATATGAAGGTCGCCAGCCAATTGTAATTGTGTAAATCTGGATAACTCTCACGTGCAACACGTGCGCCCGTAGGCCTACTTATATAAATTCGATATTCGCGTATAAAGATATGTACATATCTTTATTATACGCTAAGCTAACAATACGTGTTTAGCTGTTATATCGGTTATCTCTAACAGCCCTGACATACATAAGCATCTTGGTTAATCATCGTCATTTCATCACACAATACTAGAAGCCTCGACGGATGGTATGTGCATGCAATCATAACGAATTATACTACGTAGGCATTGGTGTCACATGAAATCACAAGGGGAATATATATCATATCTTATCAGGTGTACAAGAATAATAATTATATTTCTTATTGAAGTACTCTTAGGTATATATATATATCAAATGCGTGTACGATTTTCACACTCAGAAAATTGACAATGAACAGATTGCAAAATAAGTTATTCTCAAACAGTATTTTGTAAAAAAAAAGCGATACAAACCATGACAATATAGATCGTGTATGATATTATAGTATTATGGACTCTTGTAAATAACTATGTTAGTCTCATGTGGAAGTTTACTGTGCAATGGTGTAAATTCATCCCGATTTTTACGTTGTTTAATTATCTTGCTATCGATTAATTATGCATTTAATAGCGTGTATGTAAATATTAGCTCATCGGGATGCGTGGAGTTTTGTGACTCCTAATGATGAGCAATAAAGAAGCTTACTGAAAAAATAAGAAGTTTGCTGATCAAAAAGAAAACGTTAAGTTCAAAAGTTGATTATAAAAAATAGTTTATAGTTATCGGTGAAGATGAAAACACTTGTCATGAAGTTTGCGTTGTAGGTAACAATATATCTATACCCTCTAAATTATTGAGGAAGGTTAGTAATAGCCTTTATTGCTGTTGCTACTCATAGAGACGATACTATTTACGGGGATTTTGTATTATTTTTTTTTTGTAAATATCTTTTATAATTAAACTAGATACGCTAGTCTAATAATTAATATACAAAATATTACGCAAGTTTTTGACTTTCTTACAGTTTCTTTTAGTGTTAAAGATGTGTTGAACTTTTCGGCATAACGTCATAGTTTTTCAATTTGTCGATTGCATTTTAGCCGTAGCAAGAGATTTATGCCACCTATTGTTATAACAGGATAAATAAATAAACAGGTATATGTGAGTCGTTATATTTTACAACGTTATTTACAGCAATATTCGTACAGAGTTTAACGTGACAGCGACATATTACAGAACATGCGATTTATCATTGATGCTGGTACTAAACGTATTATGCGCGAGTAGACTGTGATGTTTTTCTTAGACATATAAGTTTACTTTGTGGTTTGTTATTGTTTCAATCTCCGATTGAAATTTTAGGGCAATGCATATAATCAAGCTGTAACTTAAAGATATGTTGTGCAGTCTTTTAAACTGATCAGATATTTCCAAAACCGAGCTGCGTGTATACGAATACCCAGTTTATTGGAAAGTAAAATACAAAGCCAATCGCAAATAGGCCTACATTATCATAATCTTGTGTATGAGAGCTCTTTCTATTGGAAAGTCTGTGACGCACGTAGTATTCTCCACAGGCGGTTGTGCAGATAGTATAGGTCGCAATACAGTCAAAAATGATAAAAACTACGAAGAAAACACAAGAAGAAAATTAATATAGATATATATAAGGGAAAATGAAATAGCGAAATGGAAACCTCATATGCTATGAAATGTACGATTATTGCACCAGGGAGAAATACTCATTTTACATACCAATGTATTTGGTTATGTTGGTTCGAATCCCATCTGTTTATTTTTTATTTTTATTATTATTTTATTTTTCTGTTTAGGGTTAGGGTTAGATTAGGATTATGGTTAGGGTTAGGGTTCACAATGCGTGTGTACACATGTATATTATGGACCCGAGCGATCCCGAAGTTGCGCCCTACATTTCCGGAAAATTAGTATTTCTCCCCGGTACACGATTCGAAATGTACCCGCTATTTTATCCTAATCCGCACAAATTCGGAAATCCCACGTGTGATATGGACGTGGCGATACTAATATGATATAATAACTCATGATCGATCACTCAGCAAACTTCCGTAAAGTCCCAAATCCTTGGGGTCGTTGACAGTGAAACGCAATTTTGATATTAACACAGTTATCGTTGCAGCTAGTTATGAGGTGAGAAGCTTTATCATGTGGTGTAATATGCTCAGCAGGAATATGTCTGCACAGTATTTCAAAGTGCACTGTTATTACTTGGGAAGGTGTATGATGGGAATGGCTATACATATATCTAACAATCATATTACATATTATATACATATACATTATTATATACATCGAACCTGCCGTGGAAACTGCATATTCTGCACATCATGTAATGCAGTGCTGCCATCTGTTATTGTTTAAGCGGATTTGATAATTAATATCAAAGTTGTGCAAATCGATAGTATCAGGAGCGTATAAATAATGACAAATATTTGTCATTATACGCTCCTGATAGTATATATAATAGATATATGGAATATGTACTATCTACTACACGCCTTTCTTCAGGTCGTTATTGAAGTTAAGTTATTCGTAGGAGAAAGCGTTTATCCTTATGAGTCGTGACCTAATATCCAAAAGAACAGCGCAGAGCAATAGATCCATTGTTAACGAGGCGGCGTTGAAACGTGGGGTTTGCGATAGAGTGGGTGTAAAACGAGATTAAGATCTGAGCCAAGAGCAAGAGAGATAGCTCTTTTGAAAAACCTGTATAATATCTTAGCTATGTACATGTGTTCCTGTCTGAACGAATGCGTAACGTTCGACTTTCAGAATTTCCTCTGTATTTTGGCGTGAAACTCGTGATACAGTCAAAATGTCGCAAGAAGCTGTCCAATATGAAATATAGTTTGTGGCGCCTCGCTGCCGCTGCTTTTATTTTTTTCCATCCAACTTTCAAATTGTTGGTAAATAGTACTGCGCATATCAACGCCAGTCAAGCCATCAGTGCCCCTTCAACGCCCAGCAGATCATCGAGACTGACTGCATGCTAACAGAATGCGAAATCTTTACGATTTCTGGATATTACGCTGCGGCTTGACAAAAGACGTCAATACTTTTCTCGAGAGTTTCGCCGTGTAAGTCGACCCGGGCAATTGCTCCAAATGATATACGAACTAGAAGGCCTCTCTCCCGCCTCTCTCTCTCTCTCTCTCTGCTCTCTCTTCTCTCTCTCTCTCTCCCTCTCGTCTCTCTCTCTCTCTTCTCTCTCTCTCTTCTTCTCTCCTCTCTCTCTGCATCGTCTCTCTCTCTCTCGTTTCGCTCGTCTCTATCTTCTCTCTCGCCTCTCTCTCTCTCA